TCTAAGCAATAGTAATTGTAACGATGATTTAAGTAGTGTAACTTACCGTTCTTCTCATGAAATATTTACATAAAACACAAGACAATTCTTAACAAATACAGTCTTTCGCCTAACGGGCATTCAACAGGTGGACGCGCACACATTGGTTCTTACTTGTGACTTAAATGTTAACTAACTCTAAACAAAAAGTAAACTTTTTATTGGTTACATACCTTGTTGGTCCTTCTTCAAGTGTATGCAAATTAATTTATGTAAGTTCCTGACACGTGTATGTGTATGTGACTTCCTGACACGTGTGTGCCATGTGAGCGAATTTTGGGCGCATCAAGCTTATACTTCAGGCTACATGTTAGGCAAAGCATTTTGGTTCAAGTTTTTTTCAATTGTTCAGCATTCACGTTGATGTGTACTGGAGCCAATCATTGATATAACCGTTCACTCATCGGAGACAAAGAAATTCAAAGGCAATTTTTTTCGCACATTAACCGTTAACCAGATAGAGAACTTTGTTTCCTGGACGGTAGTTATCAATAACCAATATTTAAAAAAAAATCCTTTAAAAAGTAAGCCTATGTCCTAATACTTCGAGAAAAGCAAAGAATTTATCCAAAGCTTCATCAGTTGTTTCAGTTCATTACCGAAGTTTTTTTCCAAAGAATCATTTTGTCTGGTAGATATAACTAAATGTATTTGGTACGAAACGCCTTAATATACCATGCATGGCGATAGCAGAGAGAGAAGATAAAATGCTTACTGATCGCTGGCCGTCTTCACGGAAATATCTTCTCACTTTCTAGAAGACGTGTTTGGAAATCAGCGTCGGGAAGTTGGATTCTTGGTGCTGAGACAAAACAAAATCGAATTCATCACGAAAGAATGACAAGAGTATTTTTTTTCTTTAAATAAATCCGGCCCAACAGTCTACATGACAACAGCAGGTCTGGGGTTATGTAATATAGGTAACGTAGGGGTAACCACAAGTCAGTTTTGGTATATCATTCATTATATACGCGGTGAAATTAAAGCGTTAACCTTATAATATGCCCGCCAACACTGGACTAATTTGACAACGCAAAAGACATGTACAAAATGTACGGCTTGATAAGATCTATCTGTTATTGTCCCACTTTTTGCCCAATCGACGAAATATCAAATGGTATTAAAATGCCTTATAACAAAAAAGGCAAAAGAGATTACTGCACTTGAGAGAAAAAGGTGGAAAGGTTACCTGGATTAACGATATAAATCCTTTGCATCACGAGGAGAAAATCCGCCTCTTCTCACACAACCTGTTTCGTGAAACGTCGACGAGAAATAAAATTTCGTAACTGTGGAAAATTTGACAGAATCGTGTCAAAACATTGATTGATTGTTTTTTGAAGTCTAAAAATAGAAACCAAGTGATTTTGAAGGGCAACAATAACAACCAAGTGCGCGAGATCGGGGCTGTCATTGGTTGCGCTAAGAACTTAAGGACTGCTCTTGAAAGGACAAGACCTCGTCAGCGCTGAGGACTAATGTAAGTTATGTAATGATAGTTCTGTTATGTCATATTTTATAATCATCGGGTGCTTTGCTGTTTTTTGTTTGTTTCAGATACATGTATAAGTGTTTGACACTACCAGGACGTTACATACTGACTAATAAGCATGTGCCGCGGTCATCATGGCCGTTTTGGTTGTTTTGAAGCCTGAAAGTAGAAACCAAGTGATTTTGAAGGGCAACAAGTAGCCAAGTTCGTGAGAATTTCATCGTTTGCGCTAAGAACTTGAGCGATTTCTCGATTTAGCATATGAAGAAGCTACAAATGCATATCCAAAGCCTTTTGCCTTTTTGCCCGGACTCTTTCATTTGGCTTACACAGAAGGCACAGTTCCCAACCAGAGAAAACAGGCAGTCCAGCTAGCGGCCAGCCAGGGTCAGTCAAGTCCCATTCACGTTCTAGAGTTATGTAATATTTCATAAGGGTGCTTAGTCGTTCTGCTTTGTTTCAGACACAATTGTTTTCGTAATACCAGGACGCTATATACTGGCTCATGCGTCCCTGTCACCATGGATATTAAACCGAAGAGCTCGCGGCAGAGTTTTTGTTCCTGACGCGGCGCAGTGTTCTGAGTAGTTTGTTTGTTTCCTTGTAAGAGAGTTTAGATGACAACTGAAGTAGCTGCTATACAAAGACGGCTAATCCGAGGAAGAAATTTGTCACGCAATGTTATACGTAGTTTTTTGAGACAGAAAAATTGCCAAAATATGCCACTTAGTCAAATCTTACACATTCTGAGTAAGATTTGACGGTTAGAAATGTGTAAAAAAAACTTAAATACGTTCTATACCCGCTTTTAATCTTTTACAACGTTTTGTATGAGAGAAACATGCGAAGACATTGATATGATGATGATGAAGACATCATGAATTTGTAAGCCACGTGAATCATTCGAACTAATTTTTCTCTGCGATAAAATTGCCTGTTTAAGATATGACTATTATCAGTCATTTCTACAATCAAGCACTGATGAATGAGTCCATAACGACACAATATGTAGAAATTGTCAAGTCTCAAATACCTTGGTAGCCTTCCTTCTGCCTGCACCGTGAGGTAAACTTACTAAACCTCATCTTCACATTCGAACTATATTTACGGAGGCACTTGATATTACAAACTTTACCCCCCGTTCGTTAGTTCGATAGTAAAGATTATGTAGTCTGTCTAAAACTGCATGCATATACAGCACGAGTGGTTGAACACTGAGAAGGCAAAAACTCACCCATATGTTTTCCCACTACCCGGAACGTTGAAGTTTCGTGCTCCTCCGTGTAAGGCAAATGAGGGACAATGCTTTTCCCTGGGTATTTCTACCCAACAGGTGGTTAGATCTTAGCATGCAACTTTGTTCGGATTAGAACACTTACCTGATGCCGGATATCGCATTTCGCGACAAGTGTTAACGTTTGGTACAAAGAGAATAATCTGGTGCGGAATTTTTTACAAGAGACTAGCTTGTGTCTAAAATATAGTGAATTTTCATTTGTTTTGGTAACAGTTATATTTGTTGCTGGAGATTCTAAAAGAGAAGGGTGGGTGATAAAGATGCAGCAAGCAGGTGGTAACGCTAATATCGGAAGGAATTTCTGTAGTGGGTGTGTTCTCTTACGGATTAACATTCTGGCTGCGGTGAGTATTTCCACTTGAATGTATAGAGGATAATGTTATCCTCTTTACGGGGGACACAAAAACGGAATGCACTAGTTTTGAGCCGCGTCGAACTGAACTACTTCTCATAGAATGTCGAAATATCTGTAGATCTTAACGTTTACAATTCAACACGAAGATCTAGGCTGTTACAATGTTGAAAAACGGCCTAGCTTAGCTCACTATTTCCCTTGGTCAAAATTTTGCTATGCCAAGAATATTAGTGACAGCTTAGTGTCTGAAGTGTTTGAAATACCAGGTCAAAACCTGGGGTGAGATTTAGGGGGATAGGGTTAATCGGATAACTCCGCTGACACTGGATCAATGAATATCCGGCAGGTGCTATATTGCCACCAACGTTTGTGCATGTGGTGTCTTTGTATCCGATCTCTTGTCGATGGCACTTGCCCGGGGGTGTTATGTGGTTTATCTGATTAATGTAAGAGGTTCTTGAATTCATCAGGATCAACAATAACTTCAAATACGATGCCGCAAACTTGCGGGAATTCCAAAAGCGAGATTACCACGTGGCTGGTTTATAATATGTGTGGGAAAGCTAGATTTGTAGTTAGCGGACTATTAGGATGTACAAAATGACTAATAAACTGGTGAACGTACCAACTACTAAGTACCTAATACCAGCCCAGAAGAGAACAAGCCATGCCTTCAAGTACCGGCAACCAAGGATTGAGGTGTTAAAATTCATTTTTTCCTCAGAGAACCATCGTAGAGTGGAACTCAGCCGCTGTCACTAACTACAGCGGGGGCATTATAAGTAAATAGCCTTCAACAATGTTTAGAGTTAGATGTCCAAGGCGGGTTAGGTGTAACAAGTCGATCGGTGTAATGTAGCTAGCTGCCGCCGCGCCGCGCGCCTCAGCGCAGCTGGTGTCACGCCGAAGCTTAGGGCGGTTATACCGGCTATACAGATACAGATAGCACGGTCACGACGGAACACACGGCCACTACAGGCTCAGCACATAACAAATCATCATTCCGGAAAATCACGAAAACTAATGCAATTTCATTCGTGACCGGTGGTACGTTGGCTTACATTTGCATATTATAGGGAAATAGAACGGATTTCGATGAATCTATCTGAAAAGGATCATATCCTACTTGATCATGTTTAAACTTTACAGATTTGAACACATATTCTCAATATTTGCAAATCTAGGAAACTTCGAATTCAAACATCATCGCGGCAAGGATTGTAACGGTCACCCATCAGTCCGGCGAACGACTCACGGAAAGGTGTTACTCACTGGTAAACAATTGAAGAATAAGACCGATAAATGTCATCTGTTTATTTCTTAGCCGTAGCATAATCGGAACTTTATCATCTAAGCGTCCTCATGCATCGATGGACATTCATCAATTATTTCATGTCGGACCTTGTGAAGGCATTGTCAGTGATGGCCCCATTGAATAACACCCATTATGTTATAGAAGAGTGCACGCTGGCGCCGTCAAGAACGTGTGGCATCAGTGCCACCGAACAAAGCTCACACACGGTCACGTTGTCAAATCTACGTGAAGTTTCAGGCAGATCATTTCAGTCGAATCTAGGTCAATAACCGCGGTTTACTAAAGTGATGCTTGAATACTCTCATAACCCCTTGATAGATATGATTGCATTATTCTAGTCCGTAATCCAGGCCATGTCCCCTTAACCTCGAATAACTGTAAGTGCAAAGTTGACCTCGAGTAACACCAATGCCAGCTGTATATTGTGCTATCAATAGTGACATCAGGTATTAAATACCAGTACATAAACTGCGGTGCGAGACCTAAAGGGCAAAGGTCACAGTTCACGTGAGACCGGCTGAGACAGGCACGGAGAGTACACGTGTGAAATCAGCCGTCTGTTTCAAAGGTCTTTAAAACTCTGTAGTTTCGTTGTTTTACCATGGACGCCATCAGAAACGGGTGGTTCTCTGAGTTGAGCCCCTTGTGGCCCGGCCAGTCTATGAGTTTAGAAGTCGAGGAAGTTCTCTACCACGAGAGGTCCAAGTACCAAGATGTGCTGGTCTTCAGAAGGTAAGACAGATTTCTCCTGTCCCCTATGCCAGGGAGGTTAAAATCAAGCTCAGTTCCTTGTCTACGCCAAGTAGCTATAGGTCCAGTAATCTCATAATTTGCTTACACCTTTGTGCATTCCAACAGTTCTGGGAACATCATTTTCCCACCTTAAAATAACAGTTAAACTTAAAGGGGCATTACGTAACATTTTTCACCAAAAATTGAAATATTTTAATTGAAAAAAAATCTCCATGTGATTGTAATTTAGTTCCACTTTTCAACATATTTGTGGAATTATTTCACATCTCTGACATTTATTATTAATAACAAGAGTTCCACGATCTCATACCTTCGCCAAATGATGTTAACCCTTGTGGTTGACAAATTATAAAATTTTAATCATTGATTTTGTAAATAAGAGCCCCATTTGCATGGATTATATCAGTTGATCATATTCTCCACCCAATGACAGCCTTATCTTAACAAAAATGCTATTATAGCACTTCCTCATAAATTATGCAAATGAGGTCATGATTTGAATAAATTATGTTTATCGATGCTCACCTTCACTTAACTTCCAAATGTGGTAAGTATGAAATTCCCAGCAGTTACAACTATGAAATTATAAAAAAATTCCATTTATTATGCAAATTAGGTCCTCATTTACATAATCTATATCCTCAGATGTTTTCTCTCGTTCTCACAAGTGATGTCACAAGTGTTTCATAGTTCTATTATCGAACAAAGCAGATTTATAGAATTTCCTCATTAATTATGCAAATTAGCTCCTGATTTGCATAATTGTCATCTGATCATGTCAAGCATCACTTCAACTACCTACATACCAAAAATCACGACAATCCGTCAACCGGTTCTTGAGTTATCCTCCTTCGAGAATTTTTCAACAAATGCTCCTGCAGTTCCAGAACAAGCCGCTAGGGGGCCCAAACTCATGTCACTTCTTCCCTATCCCAAGAGCTATCTGCCATCCAAAATTCGTGACCCTAGCATGTCCAGATCACGAGATATCAAAACCGGAAGTTCTGCTGCAGTACCTAGGAAAGCCGCCAGGGGGCCCAAAATCTAATCATTTCTAGGTCTCATGAAGACCTACCTACCTACCAAGTTTCATTCCAATCCATCCACTGCTTCTCGAGTTATCTTGCTAAACCACACACACACACACACACATACCCACAGACAAACGCTACTGAAAACATAACCTTCTTGGCGAAGGTAATTATGGTTGCCTCTAGAACAGCCTGTACAAGATGCACCACCACAAACTACCAGATTCAGATCGCGACACGATTCCTGAAGTAGTGACGATGGGCTGTACTCCAGAATCAGATGTTGATTTGGGGTGGATTTCGGTTGCAGACCTTGTACTTGTAGCTTGTGAGATCTGTGGCAAATCTTCAGTAGCAAGTGTTACATAGTTGCCATATTCATTATCAAAGGTCGACGGGTTTTCGTAGGTGGGGATGTCATCTTCAACACACTTACAGCTCCCAAAAATAGTTTTCCCAGGTTGATACAGTATAGGATTGAGGATACTAGAATGTAAACAAACTCCTCCTATTAGGCTCCTAAGGTGTAATATTATGGCACCTCCACTTCCTGAATAGCTCTTGCATCTTTTGTTTCCTATTGACAGTAAGACATATGGGAACGTGCTTGTGTTGGACGGAGTGATCCAGTGTACAGAGAGGGACGAGTTCTCCTACCAGGAGATGATCGCACACCTGCCCCTCATGAGCCATCCCAACCCAAAAAAGGTTGGTTTCACCCACTTTATTATTAAACCAAAGATATTTGATTGTGTGAACCTTTTAGATTTAACTACTAGTACTACGCTGACCGATCTCCTAATAAGAGCCTACAGGTGTACAAGCCATTATTCATCGGTGTCATAAATATGTTTAAATGGAAGCTGACATTGTATTGTCCATGATTGCCATTAAATCAAGTCTGACGTTGGGCCGGATGGTGTTTGATTACAAACTGTTGATTTATTCACTTTGCTTGATACATGTACATGGAATAAAGTGAGTAAGGTGATCTTCAGTCAGATGTTTTAATGTTGTCACCATTAGTGTGTTAGAGACAACATACCTATTCTTATATTTGTACTCTAATTTACTGTACTGCTCATTTGTTATAGGAGATTCTTTATTGACACAACAAAAAGTACAGGGACTTTTGTATGGTCTTCTACAACTAAAGGTCTAATAAAGTTAAATACATGAGTGGATAACTTCATCCTACACACAGAATATATGTATGTGGCAAATTACATACAGAATATACAAACTGTACGTTACTGAATACCTTATTGATGTTCATACCCTCCTTGTTCTGTCCAGGTGCTGTTAATAGGAGGAGGTGATGGAGGGGTGCTGAGGGAGATCGCCAAACATTCCTGTGTGGAGTCAGTGGTGCAGTGTGAGATAGACGACGTAAGAACATTTACAGAAAGGATATTGGTGTTGGTTTGGGATTCATTTGCAAAAGTTAGGAAATATTGAAAGAATCTTGAATGCCGATATGTAAAATGTCATGTAACAGAAGAAAACAATGGTCATGAGAAAATGAGAAAATGAGCTTTTGGAACAATTTATTACAATATATGGCTGAAATAGGGCAAGCAATTGTCATATTACTGTTATTATTACACACTGTTGATTATCATCTGTGACCATTGTTTCTGGCAGTTAAGATATTCATATTCACAAAGGTATGACCTAGATAGTCCTAATCATCCCTGTTATCAGCAAGACCATAAATATTGTCCTAGATACTCAATCCATTGACCTACTTTCTTGAATGGCAGATTGCTAATTATTTTTGACCTACAGAAAAAGGTTGATTGGCTTTATTTTTGTTGCAGCAAGTTTGAAATATTGGACTTACAGAATACATGTAAAACATAAATGGACAATGAAGATCATGTCCAAATCTTGTCCAAATTGTATCCTTTTCTGTTGTAGGAATGGAAACATTGTCATTTTGACCTCTAAGGGTAAGATTTTGAAACATCTATAACTTGCAAAGTGTGCCAGTCAAAATTTTCTAAGTAGAATATTTCAATGTATTGCATTTTATTTCGTTGAATTTTATAGAAAGTGATTGAGGTGTCCAAGAGGTTCCTCCCTAAGATGGCGTGTGGCTACGACAACCCCAAACTGACTGTGAACATCGGGGATGGGTTTGACTTCATGAAGAAGAACAAAGGGTCTTTTGACATCATCATCACTGACTCCTCTGATCCCATAGGTAAATATCAAACTGCTTGTGTCTCTTACTTCTTGTTTTCCTTTGCTTCAATAGGGTTGTATTGCTGTATATTGATTGCAGTACTTGCTGTATATTGATCACATTAAACTGGAATGGCAGAAGAGTCTGTCTAAGTGCATACATGTGTATGTTTAGGTCCTGCTGAAGCCTTGTTCCAACGTTCTTACTATGAACTGATGAAGGAAGCCCTCAGGCCTGGTGGGATCGTCTGCACACAGGGTGAGTCAATTACATTGAGATGATATAAACTGTTGGAACAATTAATGTGACATTGTCTGTATTACATCCATGGAAAGTAGTAAGGTAGATACAGAAGAGGCCTCATTTGCTGACATACTTGTACAACATTCTGAGTCCAGAGTGATGTGTATTTTTTTAATGAGAGACTGAGAGGTGTTAGTTTTTTTAGTGAGAGAGTGAGAGGTGTTAGTTTTTTAGTGAGAGAGTGAGAGGTGTAGATCAAAACCCATCAAGCTATTCTAAAAAAAAATTAACAAGTGGGTACTAATACATGTATTTGTGTTGTGTTCAGATTTTTCTACTCCCACACCTTTACTAGAAGAATCTCTTTTCAGTCAAGTCTTTTCATTAGTGTGTTAATCGATATATTTACTTGTTTACCTCCAGGGGAGTGCATGTGGCTTCACCTGGACCTGATCCGAGACATGCAGGAGTTCTGTAGCAGCCTGTACCAGCATGTGGACTATAGTTACTGCACCATTCCAACCTACCCCAGCGGCCAGATAGGCTTCGTACTTTGCAGTACAAACCCGGTCAGTCTTCATTTCATGCCATTTGATTCATGCTAGTAAGGTACAAAAATTACATGCACACGTATGCCTTGGTTTGTCATGGCTACATATCTTGTCTGTACAATTTCTAGTTCTCAAATCAGATGCAATCTTCCGCAACAGATTCTTCTGCAATATCTGGGTATATCTGTACTCATAGTCTTATTTTTAACTGTTGTTATTATGTGTACTTTGTCTTTTCTATTTGTATTTTGTCTTTTATATGGCAAGCTAATCTGGCAAGCTAATTTCCGATCCTGAATCCCAAAGAGAACGCTGGGCTGAGCATTTTTCTGAGTTGCTGAACCCTCCACAAGACAGTGTTGACCTAACAGTACTAGACAGTTTACCAGGTATACCTTGCTTTCAATATCTTGGGGAGGAGGATGGCCCGCCGACAGTTGAGGAAATTCAGAACGCCTTGAAAAGACTGAAGAACCACAAGACTCCAGGCGTGGACGGTGTATTCAATGAGCAACTGAAATATGGTGCACCTGGCTTGACGAAAACCCTGGAAACTCTCTTCGCCAAGATTTGGCATGGCGAGGCTATCCCCGAGGATTGGTCCAAAGGCATAATTGTTGTATTACCAAAAAAGGGGGATACTACACACTGCGCCAACAATCGAGGTATAACGCTTAGATCAACTGCCTCAAAGCTCTTTCAAATTATTGTCCTGGGACGTCTGAATGAGGGTCTGGAAAATCTACTGAGGGACAATCAGTGTGGCTTTAGGAAGAATAGATCGTGCATCGACCAGATTTACTCCTTGCGAACTATCATTCATAACAGCATCGAGTTTAATATTCCCCTGTACATTAACTTCATTGACTTTAAAGCTGCTTTTGACAGCATCAACCGTGAATTTATCTGGAAGGCCTTTGCTTTTTATGGATTGCCAGGGAAATACATCAGGGTTTTGCAGGCCTTCTTCCACAAGACTGTCAGTGCAGTGAGAGTGAACGGAGAGGAATCAAACTGGTTCGATGTGACATCTGGGACTGGACAAGGGGACATTCAAGGGCCCCCAGTGTTTAATGTTTGCATAAACCTGGCAGCACACTTAACTGAGATAAGCAAACAAATCAGTACAGGTGCAGTGTTGCAGCGGGATAGTCATGGCAAGCCGTCGGTCTCTGTTTTGGATACGGACTATGCTGATGACATGGCTTTACTTGACAACAAGAAACTGGGTCTACAGGAGACAACTGATCTGTTATGCAAAAACAGTGCTCTTGCGGGACTTAAGGCCAACGCCAAAAAGACGCAAGCTATGACAGTCGGCAAGCATATTGCACAGCAACCTTACACTGAAGAAAGCACACTCAGGATCACGGTAGATGGATATCCCGTGGAGCAGGTTACTCACTTTACTTACCTGGGAGGTACAATCAGCAGTAACGGGACAATTGACTCTGAAATTTCCAAACGGATTCAGAAAGCTTCTGGTGCTTTTAACTTACTTGGTAAGATCTGGAACAACAGGAACATCCTTCAGTCGACAAAATTTCGGATATACAATGCTGCTGTTGTTACCATACTTACCTACGGTAGTGAAACTTGGACTACTACCCAGGTGCAGATAGCGAGACTTGAAACGTTACATCAACGCTGTTTGCGCCGTATCCTCCGCATCAGATGGTATCACCGGGTACGGAACAGTGATGTACTGCTGCAGGCACAGTTAGTGAACATAGCCACAACCGTAGCTTTCAACAGGCTTAGGTGGTTTGGGCACATTGTAAGAATGCCTGAAGAGCGGCTGCCCAGGTATCTACTAGATTGGAAACCGAACTATGGGCGACGCTCTAGGGGAAGGCCTAGGAAGTCATGGAATAACTGTGTCCTGGAAGATGCTGTGCTGATCTTAGGGAGGCCCAGTACCAGTCTAGAAGAGTTAAAGGAATTAGCAAGAGATACATGTAGGAAGGAGTGGAGAGGACTGTTGAGGAAGAGACGAGTTCTGTGCGCAGGCCACTCGAACGACTGACTCGAGGAGACCTCAACAAGTACAAGTACAAGTACAAGTACTTTTATATGGGCCCTGAATGCCTGAAATAAAGAATGAAGAAGATGTGTCTACATGTGTACCTTCAGTATTCTGACAGATACTTTTTGCACTGTATCTTAGCCATCAATATATCAGTAGTCTTTCCCTTAATAATAACCATATGGTCCATTTTGTTCAAACACTCACAAATATACATGTAGGCTTCTTGACTTGCATTGCTGATTATCCCTTTTTCTGCTGTACAGGACACCAATTTTATGGATCCTGTGAGAAAATTCACAGAAGAACAGCTGGAAGAGCTCAACATACGATACTACAATGCTGATATCCATAGAGCCTCTTTTGTTCTACCTCAGTTTGTTAAGAAGGTAAGGAAATTCCTTATTCCCATCCTTACTAAGAAAAAAATGGAAATGTCAATATTATGTAGGAAATGTTTGTTAGCAAAAAATAGTAATGTGAAGATTTTACTCATCTTCAAGGCCATTTTAGGCTTTCTTTGGCCAGCCAACATTTATGTTAATTGTGAAACTAAATCCTCAAGTAAAATTCCACACCTGTACCCTACAAAAAGTGCAAGAGTTACTGTAGAGATAATGCAACATAGACTCCTCCCATGTTTCATCACTTATCCTATCTCTTCACTCTACAGGCACTTAAGGCTCCTAAACCCAAGGTGAACAATCAACCTCAAGAGGACGGCCAGAATGGAGAAAAATGATGACAACTGAAACCATATTTATTTTAGCTGTAGAGATGTATCCATGTGATTCATCCAGTAAAATGGCAGAAGTGCATGTAAGAATGTACCAGAGTTAGATAGACGAGAACTTGTCAAAATTGAATGTGCAAAGAGGAATGAGAGATTATGGTGTGATTGAGGTGAAATAAATCTCCCTCTGCTAGAAATATATCATAAAGGTTTATTTCACAATGGATGTAATGGTGACAAACAAGTGTATGAAAGAATGGTCTTTTTCACAATATTCCTGACCCTATTACAATTAATAAATTGTAAGAAATAATTTTCTTTATTCTCAATTTCCAATAGCTGTTTTAGATGGAAAAGTAGAATATGTCATTAGTAGAAAATGATGCCTCAAGATTGGCCTGTTTTAACTTTTAGCTAATTATTACTTTAAACTCAAAACTAACATGAGCTTTATACAAGAACAAAAATAGTAATTTGGCAGTTATGTTTCCCAATAGGTGTGGCTTCTGCCATGATGTACCCATCCACTACAGCAGTTGATGTGCCCTAGCTAGGGAGCTTGGTACATGTATTTGTGTTTGGTAGAATGTTCTAATATTATTAACCTAATGTTCAGATAGGATGTCTCAAAGTGCCAAATGTGTAATTTAAAATGAGGAAGCATAAAGTATGGTCTGCAGTTTTGTGGTGCATTGAGACTCTTGTGGTAGTACTAATACAGGTTTCTGACTGAAGCACATTGGGCAAGTGAAGTCAGATAAAGGTTAATTGTATCATCATCTCAACTGTGACATTACGAGATAAGTTCTGATGATACGTAAGTCAGTAATAAGTGCTGTCAATTATGCAATCTCAGATTTGTTATGGTCATTTAGCAGATGGAAGCATTCCCACACCAAGGCAAGACTGGCTCTGCAAACCTGTATTTGATAGATGTCACTGTTGTGCCTAGTTTTTAGGAAGGAAATAATATGGAGTCAATTCTTCATGTAATAGATGCAGAAATAAACAAACACAGAAGTGGAGAAACACAAAATTGTTTGGTTACTTTTATGCTACTACTGTATAAGAGGTGAGGCACATACAGCAATGTACAACATCAGATTCAGAGCACAGGATATTTTATTACTTATGTATGAACCATGTAATGAAATAAACCTCACTTCTGACACAATTAGAATTGCCAAATAAGAAAAATTATTTGGCACAATAAGACTTGGGTCAAAACAACATTTTAGGCCACGTCTATATTGTTGAAACCTGGTAATATTTGTTTCAACACTTAAACAGCTGTTCAAATTCATTGGTCCATGTACAACATGTACATACATTCAGTCTACCACCTTGCTTGATTTACGCTCTATCCATGATGGCTACACTGTACCTTTAGTAGAAAGGACTGATGTGTTCTTAATTCTTATTCAAGCTACATGAAGGAAACTTAGGCATACGATGAAACAATACATTACCAATATCAAAGATCTGAAGTACGCCATACTGGGGAATAATCACTGGGGATCCAAATATACAGACTCAAAATATTAATACCATAACATAAATATATGGACAATATACCTATTCCACATTTTATGATTGTTTCACGACTGTCCAACTTTGAAAAACAAGACATTGCCATTCACAAAAACATCAACATAAGCTCCATAATTTCTCACCTTACAGTAAGACCATGAAAGTGCAACAATCTGACAACTACAAGCTCTAGTATTGTTCAGGGTTACATAAATCTGGAAAGAAGATTAAATAGCAGCAAACTAGTACCGGGTACATGCACAAACTATCACAGTACAATAACTTAGAAATCAAAGACTGTATGTATTTTCCCATGTAATACTGACAGACCATTTCATTATCTAAGTGATTTCATCATCATCAGCTTAATCCTGGCAGCTGTCCCGGCTGTGCCATCAGACAGCCCAACAGATACAGCAGTCCTAAGGGCAGGTTCAGTTTTGCTGTCTTTTGAGGTATTTTTGCCATCCGATGTTCCCTGAAGTCCCGTTCTAGGCTGAAGGCCAGTGGGAGGGTGATAAGAGGCAGGAACAGCCATTTTGAGAAGTTTGTTGCCAGAATTGCGAACAGGATGTATGGCGTAAACAAGAGAAGTGTATAAAGCGCGTAGGATCCTGTTTGACCGAGAAGAATGGCGAGAGTCACCACCTTTGCCTTCTTGTCTGTCTCCATGTCCCTTGCGTTGTTGCTGTGCAGGATTGCTTCCGTGTTGAGAGCCAGGGGGATGGCGTAGAGAAGTGGTGACAAGGTAAGCTTTCCTACATGTACAGAATATGCAAACAGGACAGCCAATGGACCGAAGGTGATGAGGATGACAACATCCCCCAGTGCCACATACTTCAGTCCCATTCCTCCCGTGTACAGGAAAGACCCCGATAGTCCTCCGAAATACAGGAGAGCCAAGTGCTCCATGCTAAGCTGCGAAAAGTGAACCAGCAGCACAAAACACCCGCATCCTATACAGTACAAGGTTGCCCCCAACCCTACTACTGAGTTGGGTTCCAGTATATGGTCCACCAACGTTCTGTCATCACTTTTCTTGGTGTCTATGCCCTTCATGAAGTCATAGTAAGTGTTGACAAGATTCCCAGCCGCATGTACCGATATAACGGCTAAACAGGTGATGATGACCAGTAGAGGGTCGATGGTTCCTGTTGTTCTGTACGCCAAGGCGCTGCCTAGCAGAACAGGGGTCAAACTGGCACTAAACGACCACGGACGAAGGGCGAGGATGTACTTGGCGAAAACAGACTTCTTCTTGGGTTTCAGTCCATTTAGTGTCCCAACCTCCACTTCAGCGGTCCCGTTAGGTTGTTTGTGAACTTCTTCTTGGTCCTCTTTATCCGTCGGTATGGTAACAGACATCTTGGCGAGGAATCTGTGCCGGAAAAAGGATAAATGTCCGCGAAACCTTCCAACAAGGACCTGTTCCATGTGTGGAAATGACTCACGAATCCAAGTCTCGCAATGGTGGTGTACTTCTCGCGAGAATACAGCAAAGTTGGTACTCTTGTAAACAAATAGATAATCGATAAACAAACAAGTTCTTACTTTAAATATGGAAAGCAACAAAATGGTCAATGTTTTAGCGTTTCTTCAAGCGGTATAGAGGTGTTTATGCCTCAAAATGCTTTATTCTCGTTTTAGTGGGGTCGTGTGGCGCAGTCGGTAGCGCGTTCGGCTCACACCCCAGAGGTCGCGGGTTCGAACCCTGCCCATGTCACCGATCTTGTGCCCTTGGGAAAGGCACTTTACACGACTTTCCTCACTTCACTCAGGTGGAAATGAGTACCTAGCTTCAGCTAGGGACGTCCCTCGGATAGGACGTTAAATGGAGGTCCCGTGTTTGGGAGAGCCACACCCCACGCACGTTAAAGAACCCACCGCACTTATCGAAAAGAGTAGGGGACCTTTCCGGTGTGAGTGGTTCAAACCTTACAGTCCGGTCTTACGCAGCTTGTACATGTACGCACATGTACAAAACTGGTGTGTTACGCCTAAAGGCGGTTTACCGGTTATGCGAAACAAACAAACAAAACAAAAGTCATGTGACTTTCAGAAACCAGAATGGACGACTGATTTTACGGGGATGATTTCAGTATCAGGAAACAATCAATATTTCACAAATAACCGAACATCTTAACGCAAATTTGAAGTTATTCATCAACAAAATTTTGTTTTCTCTACATTATGGATGTTTTGAAGGCCAAGGGAAGGCAGATAACGTTATAGATATCTGGACTGTTATGTAACCCCCGTCTCTGAAGTGGTTACATCCAACCATGGCGAAGACTTTTCCCAAGTGATTTCTGATCAGGTGGGAACGTTTTTGTTGTTTAACCTTTAACGTCTCACCGTCGTCAAACCAGGACGGTGTCTTTTGATGCATCGGTTTTATTTCTAGTACATGCAAAATTCTGCAAAGCTTGTCGATAAGGCATAGGCTGTCTATCTTGCGGTGCTATACTTGTGGTGGGGAGGGGGGTATACCTCTGATTCGTTTGTCGATGAAATCAACAGATTGTTTGTTGCACAAGGTGAACTGACGCTTATAGGCTTGGAGCAACTACAATATACGTCCTATTTCGCGGTTTCGTATGCAGAATTTAGTGTACATGGTAGTTAACATGTTTTATGATCATTGCCTCCCACAGAGTAGAGATATAGGTACGAACGATATAACGGTGCATATACAAATAATATTTGTGTACAAATAACTTCCGGGTCACTTGGTGGTCGACATTGTTTTTCTTATCAAGAGAGATGTTTTATAGTGAGGTAGATCAAGACATGGGCAATTATCCAATGCGTAACCTTGTTCAAATCTCCTTTTGTAAACATACAAATTATGGTTAATTCGAGCCAGATCAACAGTGATTCTTATCTATGGGGCATGCTGAGACTGAGTGATGCTCATTTCTTAACATAACTTACTGGTGTGGCTTGTTTACACGCTCATGTCAGTTGGACAGATTGTCTTAGAATTGTGAAAAGTCATGGAAATCAGATAGCTACTTCCTTGTGAGCCAGTTAGCATGGTTTCAGTCACTGTGCTTTGCTCTTGTGACAGTGACGCTTCAACTTGTTTGAGATACTCATCTAACATCGTGATCTTCCTGCCAAAGTATGGTTGTATTTCAGATTTTTTTTATAAATTCCCTCTAGTGGGCTAGTGGTAGGCAAACGGTTGAGTAGTGACACATTTTTTGTGTAACAATCGAAATGCAATTTTTTTCCAGTCAACACCGAATGAGTTGAGCTGAAGCAAGAGCAAGTCTTGGAGATAACAGCCATGCTGTCGCAGTTTGTTGCTGGCCTTAAGAGCCGCAATGAAGAGTCGCGGACGAAGGCGGCTAAGGACATGCAGCACTACGTCACCACAGAGCTGCGAGAGATGTCTGCGGAGGAGAACACCGCCTTCATGGACGAACTCAACCACCACATCTTTGAGATGGTGTCAAGTTCTGATGCTAATGAGAAGAAGGGGGGCATACTTGCCATCGGTATGTGCTATACCATTCCTTACAACAGCTTGTCCTTGCATATGAAAAAAAAGCAGAGTTTGAGGATGTAAAGAAAAGACATGCAAATATGCAGTAGTAACTAAGTACTGTTAGGAAACCAGTACTTATGAAGGTTTTTTTAAGAATAGCCATCAGTTTTCCTGTTTTGGAGGATTAGTCAGGAATCAGTCAAGGAAAAATAAGAATGTAGTCTGTATCAACTCATAGTGAACAAACATGCAGCCTCTGCTTTCAATTATCTCAAATTTGATATTTCTTTGTATAGGAAAGTATCGTGCCACTGCACATTACACTTACAGTACAGTTGCTAGTTGGCTCCATATATTAACTGATGACTTAAGAAGTTGGGATGGTTAAGCTAGAGAATTGCTCTCCTTTTCATTATCCAGTGAGCCTGATTGGTGTAGATGGTGGCAGCAGCTCCACCCGCATCAGTCGCTTCGCCAACTACCTGCGGAACCTCCTGCCCTCCAATGACCCCGTTGTCATGGAGATGGCCTCGCAGGCGGTTGGTCGGCTGGCGCTGGCAGGAGGCACGTTCACGGCGGAGTACGTGGAGTTTGAAGTGAAGAGAGCCATCGAGTGGTTACAGGGAGATCGACATGAGGGCAGAAGACATGCTGCTGTATGTACTGTCAACACTTGGAGTATGGATAATTTTTTTTGAAAAAAAGAAAAACAAACAAACACTTGTGTAGATTGCAATTCAAGGAATTCTGTGCTTGTGATGAGCTATTTATTTCCTGATCCTTTTTTGTTTGGATAATTGCATAAATAATCCAAATAAATTTTAAAATAAATTTTTTAAATAATTGCATAGGGGAAATAGGTTTGATTTATAATCTTATGCCATGTTACATGTAGTATGAATCAGTCTTTCAAAACAAAGTTAAATACTTGTTGCAATTTAAGGAATTTTGTGTGTATGGTGAGCCATTTTTTACTGATCCAACTGTTTGGCAAATGAAGGGGAGAATTAGACTCTGCTGCATGTAATACAGATTTAATTAATAATTTTCTGCCATGTTATCATTACAGGTTTTGGTTCTCCGGGAGCTTGCTGTGAGCGCCCCCACGTTCTTCTTTCAACAAGTGCAGCCGTTCTTTGACAATATCTTCAATGCTGTTCGAGACCCCAAACAGGCTATCAGAGAGGGGGCAGTGGCAGCGCTGCGGGCCTGTCTGGTTCTCACTGCACAGAGGGAAACTAAAGAGATGCAGAAACCACAGTGGTACAGGGTAAGTCTGGCTAGAATATAGGGAATATAGGTATTCTTAAGCTTGTTGACTGAAAAAACGTGTGAAAAGGGCATTGGACAAATACAATCTCTTGTCTTAAGATTGTCGAAACCATCATGTACTCTGTCTAAATCTCACTTTTGTTAGAGAAATCTGTCACTTATTTTCATGGTACTAAAAATCAAATACTGTAGTGGGAATCTTACAGTTTAGGAGAAAGATTGTGAGAATGTTTCGTCTTGTTTCAGCAAACCTATGAGGAAGCTGAGAAGGGCTTTGATGACTCTGCAGGAAAGGAGCGTGGAGTGAACAAAGATGACAGGGTCCACGGGTCACTGCTGATCGTTAATGAACTCATCAGGAACAGCAGCATGGAGGGAGAGGTAGGGTTCAGTGGTTGGGCAAGTACCACTCAGAGTTTTTACGATGCACTGCAAAGAGACAAGAACTCTGCAACAGACCTGAGTCAGCTTACAGATGTGCCCTATATGGCAGAGATGCTGGCATTCTCGTATAGGACTGTTCAGCCATAGCTAAAGCTGTAGGATTTTAACATGGTCAGTACTGACAGTAGGAGGCTATATATAAACTATTTTTTCAGGGATATTCTATATAAAAATGAGTGTGGGAATGCTGAAAGGGTTTCAAAGATTCGTCCTGTTCAGCCATAGCCAAAGCTGTAGGATTTTACCATGGTCAGTACTGACTGAAGGAAGCCATATATAAATAACTATTTTTCAGGGATATTCTATATGAAATTGGGTGTGGGAATGATAGGGATTGTTAGGACATCCTGCTACAAGGGGTAAGAAGAAAAAAGTGTTCATTCCTATGCGCTTCCAAAGTTGGTAAACAGAATAGGCAGGAAGTGTATTTCTGTAAACACTGTGCACATGTTTTCTTAGAGCATGTGATCAAGAAAAAATATTGATAAAAGACTGTGCATATAGTTGACTCCTCAGAGCTACTAAACAGTTGTGTATGAAGTTGATCTCCATAGAGCTATTGCTTATTGCCCCTGTACAGCGGCTGCGACAGGAGATGGAGGAGATCAGCCAGCAGCAGGTCCAACACGACCAGCAGAAACCCATCAAAGAGTTCTCCTTCCTCGGCTTCAAGTCCTCCAAGAGCCTGACCAGCCACAGCAGTCACCACGCCAACTCCCACACCACCGTGGCCACCTTCCAGGGGCAGCGGTCAATGCTGTCCTCCCTGGGGATGGGCATGAGGGGGGCTCAGGTACAGGGCAAGCCTGTCAATGTGGAGAGCAGGTACTGCAGGGAACTGATGGAGAGCAAGTTTGAGCTGGTAAGGCTGAACAAGTGATACAACAATATATAGCATATTGATAACACATACATGTACATGAAAGACAACAATGAGGACTACAGTAAGTTGCTGGCCTATATTACATTTTGACTTCCTGGCTTGTGGTAAAAGGTCGAAGCAATCTACATCGATACATTGCATAACAGACAACAAAATAGAAAAACCAAGACAAATTACAAACGACAAAGATGAGATTTTTTAGCTCTAGTTTGAAATATTTGAACAATACATGATGTGTGTTGCAGATAAGATATTGAGATGTTTCCCCCCTTCCAGGTGTGCCAGCAGGTGCTAAAGTACCGGACCAGCAGGAATGTGCTGCTCCAGCAGGTGTTGCTGCAGCTGCTGCCTCGTCTGGCCGCATTCCAGCCACAGAGATTCGTCCAGTCGTAAGCAGCCCACAATTTTCTGAATTTCTTAAAAGTCACATGATATTGCTGTTAGTATTATCAAATATCTATCATTAAGTACTTTGTTAACTAGTCCAAGATGGCTAGTCCAACAAATAGTGCCTTTCCTTGGTGCTGATT